AGACAATAGTTTTCACGTTGTATAATCTGTTGTTTTTTATGTAGATTTTGTTCATTGAGTTTATTGTTGTTTTAACTATTTTTGCATTTGTTATAGTTTATTGTTTTTTTTGTGATATCTTTTTAATTGATATTTTTTAGTTACACATTTTTTTTTTCCGAATTTTGTGAAATAGGTAAAATTGAAAGGTTATTTTAAATGATTCTAAAATAATTCTTGTAGTTGAAGAAAGTTGTCTCCATGTGTTGTAAAATCTCCTTTCTAGTTACTCTTGTTTGTGTTATTATTATCAGATGTTTTAACTGCCTGAACCCTTACATACATACATACATACATACACCAACACATACACAAATACACATACACAACCACACATACACAAATACATAAACACACATAAACTAGTACATACAAAAACACACACACTCACAAACGCATACACACACACACACACACACACACACACACACACACACACACACAAACACTATTATAAGGGAATATCACTATTAAATCACTCTCAAACAGATACACACAAGTATGAGGGAGGCATCAGTGTGTTAATATAATGACGCCATGGCAGCCACTATCCCTTATCCACCCCCAGAGACCACCCCACCCCCAGAGACCCCCCAACCCCCAGAGACCCCCCAACCCCCCTCCATTTGATTGTTAACTGTATATTATTTACCTTGTGCTGTGTAAATGAAAGCGTAAGAAATATATGTATGTTTGAAGACTGTATATTATTTACCTTGTGCTGTGTAAATGAAAGCGTAAGAAATATATGTATGTTTGAAGACGTGTTTCTATATTCAACAAAAACCTTTCATAAACTCCTATGTATATAAGATTGTTTTTTGGGGTCAATTCAAAACAACAATATCAGGTCATATATTTTATACATCAACTATACAACATTCTAGAGTATATATATTTGGTTCTTGTTTTCATTGAATATTTTCTTTCTTTTATGGAGTGTACACATGATGTCATTAGTACACCAACTGAATAAGTGAGTCACAAACGACAAAAGGATATTGTACAGTTATCTAGAAGCCGCCCATCTAGAAGCCGCCCATCTAGAAGCCACCCATCTAGAAGCCTCCCACCCACCTAGAAGCTGCCCATTTAGAAGCCGCCCACCTAGAAGTCGCCCACCTAGAAGCCGCCCACCTAGAAGCCGCCCATCTAGAAGCCACCCATCTAGAAGCCGCCCACCCACCTAGAAGCCGCCCACATAGAAGCCATACACCTATATTTACCCTCACTTAGAAATTCTCTCACCTAGAAAGTCTCTCACCTCGAAAGCTTCTCTCACACACATAGAAAATCTCTCACTTTCTCTTTAGTAAGATTTTAAATTTTTGGGATACTTGAAAAAGCTAAGTTGAGGTTTAGTGCCTGGCGTAACATTCACCTTTGAGATCGCCATCATAAGCACATCCACGATCTCCTGTGTGTGTGTATGTATGTATGTATGTATGTATGTATGTATGTATATATGTATGTCACAGGATCCGGTAAGAGCGATGACAATAAAAAACTTGGTAATACATGAAAAAACACAAAGAATAATTAAAAAAAGAAAATAGACGATAATAAAGACAAATAGAAAGATAAATAAAGAAACAATTAAAAATACTAATATCAAAATATATTCCTATCCATAAATAATATCATAAAGTTAATATATAGTCGCTGTGAATAATATATAATAAAAGGATTTGTTTCATTTATAAAAAAGTATTGAAAGTCAGGAGTGAAAGTTGAAAAAAACTGTTCCTGATAATAAAGGGATTGGCCAATCTTTTCCACAGTGTCTCTGATTAGGTTAATATGCCTCGTAGATTAGATTTGATTTGGGTATATGAATAAATTCCATTAGTGTAATAACCTAATCCGCTGAGTACGATATCTCAATCCATTAAATACAAGGACATTGTACTCAGTAAACTACCATGGTACTCAAGGAGTTAACAAAGTAACTGCAAAATAGAGAAATGTAAACTACCCTTCTAACTGCTTAAAGGTTCATCATTAGCCTTAACTATGTATCTAGTATAACCACTTAACCCTTTGAGGACGATGGTTTAACTCTTTGAGGACGATGGTTTAACTCTTTGAGGACGATGGTTTAACCCTCCCGGACTCAAGGGGTTAGTGAACCATATTTAATACAATGGAGTAACTTAAACCTCATTTGTCTTCAGAACAAATTAAATCATCTTAGGTCTGCTGGCTAGACTCTTCAGGTCAGTAAACGATTCATTTCAGGTTGTAATGATATGTAGTACCGTCAACACTGTCTCTGAGATGTTAAGGGTTCGTGTTAGGTCTGTGTTGCTTGTATTGTGGAGGTGTTTTATCTACGTGTGTGTGGAGGGTGTGTGTGTGTGTGTGTATGTGTGTGTGTACAGTATGTGTGTGTAAGGGTACGAGTGTGTATGTTAAGAGGGAGACTCTCATAGATACTGCAGTATTATGACAACTAATTAACAAACATTATATTAAGTAAAAAAAAATCTAAAGTTCGTTGATGCAAAAAATAAAATCCAATAATCTCTTTTACGTCTTGTGGATCACATTACTTTTATGTAAACAAAACACAAACATGAAAAAAAATTAATTCGTAGTAGTTTTGTTTGGTGGTGTAAAAAATATTGTAAAGGAGGAGTTTTCTTAATGGCAGCTGAAGGGGAAATTACTTATTACGAATGACTTTTATTATTGTTGTTAAAAATATTACCATTATTATTGTTTGTTATTATTATTATCATTGTTAGCTTTATCATATTATTTCTTCCAGTTGGGTTTGCTTTTAATTGTCATAGAAAATAAGAGTAACAACGATAATAGAGAGGTAAAGAAAAGGAATATTGAGAGGAAGAATGATGACGACAAACAACCAAAAAAAGCAAAAAACGAAAAAAAACATTAAAAATCTTGAAAAAACACAATTTAACAAAGTTCCTCATTTAATAAGAAATAAACCTTATGAATATTTAACAATTTAACATCTTCATTTGAGATTCACCCCTTGGAAGACAGTGAGACGGATTTGACGCACCACATTCAAGAACGACGTTGGTATCAAAACAACAGTGGATGGTGAGATCAGTGTGAGTATAAGAAGAAGATGGGAATAATACTCAATAAAGGATATGTAGATTAATAAAAAGGTCAAAATTAAGAAACTTATGATAACACAGACGCGGTTAAAATATAAACACAAATGAAACGAGAAGGAGATAAATAAATAAGCAACAAGATGATTGAGTGAAGGAAAAACAAATTGACGAAGACTGGAAAATAAAGAAGAAGAGAAGGAAGAGAAAGAAGAAAGGAGAAACACGAAAACGATAATGCAAAAAACATAACACAACGATGGACAATAAGGTATGATATCACTTAACATATATATACGTAGATAGAAGAATACAATAATTAAAGTATATTAATAAGCGATGTGCAAAGTAGGAGATGAAATAAAAAGGCATACCGTCGGAAGGTTTATTAGTGTCAGTAATCACAAATCTAACTGGAACCGTTATTGAAGGAGTTGGCTACTTGTCTTGAAGGATCCTGTGAGAACTTCCATGATGAGACGAAACTGTTGTTGTAGCCTGTGTGTGTGTGTCTGTCTGACGCGTCTTCTTTACACACACACACACACACACACACACACAACACGACACAACACAAAACACACACACACACACACACACACACACAGGCTACAAGAACAGTCCCATGTCAGTCTTGAAGCACCAAACATGACTCCTTTAAAACATTTAGTTTCGACAATTCTTTACCACTTAGACTTTCAATACTTCACGTAAATCCTTAGCAACAATCTTCAAGAAATAAATTCACGAGAAAAATAACATGTGACAAATTGTATAATATTTTGTTATATGGCAAATACTTCAGCATACCAAGATGTCTTATGAACTCACAGTGACAAACCAACAAAATGCAATGTAAAAGAGGAGGGGTAAACCTTGCTTCATCTGCTTCACTCATACATTCTTAACATTTATTTACATAATTTCTTTATTGGTGAAGCTGCATATACATAGAGAGTAAAGAAATATGCATAGAACCCCAAAGTGCAGTTCAACCTATCAAAGCATCTATACCTAACGCGTGACCCTACTTATAAGTAAATAAATGAATATATATATATGTATGTATATATATATAGATAGATAGATGTGTGTGAATTACAACTCAATGAAGAAACTTTTTTTTAATATTTATCTGAGTCAAATCGTGTATAAGGTTGTTATCTGGGATCTTCTTGCTTCACTCAAAGAAAAAACAAAAGCGGATTCGTGATTTACCTTTTAGCCGTGTATAGTGAACAAGACCCGGGTCCTTAGAGGCCCCTGCCACAAATATTTCTCGTCCCTCAAGATCTAAAAATGTACCGAACTGATTGACTTACGTTAAAACACAGAACTAACGACAAAGCATAGTATCCAAATGATTCTAAAATCCTACCTTAACTAGATCCGTTCAGTTAGCATCAGGTCAAAATGAGTGTTTGACAAATGTTTCCAAAGACTTTGTTCCTTGGTGTTGTCTGGTGTTAAGTAAAGGTATCTAGTTATGTTAGTCTTTGTGTGACCTTGATGCTAAACTATAGACGTCATGTTAATGTTTTAAGTTAAGGAGTTAAATGCATTTTTATATCTTACGAGAAATATTCGCCGTAAGAGTCCCCGTGTACGTGGATCTTGGAGGCCTGAAGCAACAGCAAGATATCGCAGTGTAGTTAACGTCACATGCTTAACTCTGTGGAAGATTTATGGGAGTATCATGGAAGAACGTGATTTTGCATTTAAAAAAATAATTAATAGAAAAAATCTCGGCCCAAAAAATATATCACAGGTTGTCAAATTTTGTATCGCAGTTTTCATGTGGTCATAACGCGGCAGCCCAGGAGTGTACCACACTCTTTGTCGAGCAGCTTTACTTCTTATTGAGGCGGACCTTCCACCTCGGCCACCAACCAAGTGTCAGTGTCTCAGAGGCGGTCAACCGTGTAGCCTCGATCTCTGTGGCTCAGTTCTCCTCCTCCTCAACCATCTGGAGACTTTCATTCTCTTTCTTTCTCTTCATCTCTCTATATCTTCCTCCTTCTCGATCTCTCACTCTCTTTTTCCGTCTCTCTCTCTCTTACCTACAAAATAGAAAGCTTTGTATTGGCTAAAGTCTCCTGTGACTTAGTTCCTTCCACTCCTTCAGATCAGCACACTTAACTAGACGGGAGAAGATGTGCTTATCGAAAGGCACAAGCACTTGGAAATTCTTTTGTTTTCATGTTTATATAGATACAAGTCAAGATCAGTTTCACGTAATGTACAGAACTGTAAACCGTCTAACAATAAATAGTTATCATACGGGAATTAAAATACCAAAGAACAGAAAAGAAGTAAACGATAATCTTCAAGACCATATCAAAATTGCTGTCATCAGATCTGCCCAACAATGATACAGGGAGAGACTAGGACATTACACTTCATTAACATGTACTAGGACATTTTTTTTTAGTTTTTTTTTTTCTGGGAGTGTCACCCTCCAAGAAATTCGCTATTGCAACCATTCACGGAGCCACACACAACTGTCGGACACCGCGAGCTAAAATAATGCACAAACAATTTGCATACTGACAGTGATGTCTTATAAGTTACATTATTGCAGACCTACTGGCTGACCCATCACGCCCAGGAGTTAGTGACGTCACCTTCCTCAGGCAGCAGCACACACACTCACGATCAGCTGATGTTACTCAAAGTGTTGACGTGAATAATAACAAACAACAGATGCCTTTAACACCTGTAGCTATGTAGTGAAGGTAAACCTGACTCAGTCTTATTAGTTACTGTAGGAGTTTTTCACATATACATGAAAATTAATTAATTAAAGTAAGAAATATATATATATATATATATATATATATATATATATATATATATATATATATATATATATATATATATATATATTTATGTTTTATGTTACCTGAGTAGACTTAGCTAACTTCTCCGCCTGATGTGTCAGCTCTAATCAAAACCATTAACAGTATTATAGCTGACTAGTTCTAGGACACCCACCACCATGTATACATATACTTCACTCTATAGCTATACATGGCTATATGTTCATCAATAAACATTTATGAAACACTCAGAGAAAAATCCATCTTAAATCGTGTAACAAACAGTATTTATTTATTTATTTATTTGTTTTTTTTCAACATAGTTTGGCAACCAGCTGTAATTAACTGTTATGAATAACAATCAAACAAGCAATAAGAGGCACTTCTTAACTCAGGGATTTATCTGTGTTGCGAGAAGCTTCGTCCTCGAGTGAGTGTTTGTCTCAAGGGCGACACGCGAGGGAGGCCGCCGCTGAGGGTTCACAAGAGAACACCCATAAGCCTGCAAGTCCTTCGGTAAATTGAGCAAGCGTTTGTTGATCCACAGAGTCTTCCCTTCCCCCCTCCCTCCCTCCCTCCCTCCCATCTCGTGTTCTATTTCCCTCCCATTTTATGTGTCCCTCCCACTTTGTGTCCTAATCCTCTCTATGTTCTTTCCCTTTTTATATAGCCCTTGCATTTTCTGTCCCCCTTCCCACTCCACGTGTCCGCCTGCATCACCAGTACCATAGTGGTGTCATGGCGGCTCCAGTAAACAATCTTACTTATAACTGATGGGACTTATAACAACAAACAGACCCCCCCCCCCCCTCGCCTACTCTGTCAGGTGGGCGGAGTGATTCTTCTTGAAGGAGTTTAAGGATCTTACTAAAACTTGTTAAGGTGATTGTCCTCCAAAAGATCTTCATTGGTGTTGATAATAAAAAAGTATGTTTTTTGAGTGGTGGTTTGGCTGTCTATTATTATTATTATTATTATTATTTCGTGGTATTTTGGTCTCTCATTAGAGCGTCAGGGGATATAATATGTGCTCGACTTTGGTGAACATGTTCTACACCTGTCGTAAGTACAGTACTGAATACAAATACTGAAAACAATGGTTAGTCTTACAGTATATTCAACAGGAATCTGTGGCGGTTCCCGGGTACATGGGCCTTGGTACACAAGGAGGCAGTGTGTTCAGCACTGCACTCGACCACCTTCAGTTCCCAGACTGTAAAGTTAGGTACCCATTTACAGCTGGGTGAAGTGGAAGTGCCCGTAGATCGAACCAATAATTCTTAGGACAGAAGCTAGGCTCTGTCTCCACTCAACCGCCGCCTCACACCACTGGCGTATTACCGTTAATCAAATCTTAATATGATTCAGTTTGTCTTAAAATTGATTAGTTATGGATCTTAACTCAAGCTGTTTGTAGATTCTTCATTAAATATAACAATCTCCATATTGTAGAGCCGACACAACCCACCATGCTGCTCACTGGTGTTGCCCACACTGTTTATTTACATGTTGCTGGTGACGAAACTGACACCGAGAATCTCCTGACTATTACTGTACACATCAACAGCCCTCATGATGAGTCTGTTAACAGCAGCCTAATGACAGCCGCTATTATGAGGCTGAACACACGTATAGTTCTCACTTGGGTCACATAACCTCCCGGCTCTTCACTCAACACAACTCACAAGGTATTTTTTCCACACGTTTGAATTTAATTTGTTGTTATTACTACAAGTGCAAAGACCAGAATGGGATTTTGGCTAGTGAAGTCCTCCTGTTTATATCTGTATGAGGTATCAGATACTCTTAGGGACAACATCATTAAGTGGCGTCGTTAAGGGAGTATAGCGGGGGTGTTAGAGGCACCTATGATAGCAACTGATAAGACAACAATAAAATTTGGGTATTTCAAGCTAAAAAAAGGTACCAAGCAAAAAGCCTCGATCAGATATTATGCAAAATACTTCTTAACAGACAATGAAGAGGCTTGTTACCGTATAATTATCTCGTCAGGTGAACATTGGTTTCTACTCCACAACCACGAGTCTCTGTTGCTGTCTCTACGTACTAACACTCCTCTACACACAGGCAACTTATCACTCCGTGTTTTCTAATCAATCCAGTATATATATATATATTTACCCTTTCAATTAACACAACATATTTTTTTTTTCTCTTATTCTTAGACGTTCTCCTTGGGTGGTCCGCCGATGGGACAGCAGAGGCCCTCACTCCCGTCCTCTTTAATGCAGAATAATTTCCTCTCCACGGCTGTCACCTGAAGAGAGGAAAACAACATGTGAGTAATCCCATCTAGAGTAAGGATTTTTATAGGGTTTTCATGGAGAGATTAATATAAATTTATAATATCTTTCATCAGTAGAATAAACCACAGTGTTAAGTTTGTACCCCAGCTGAGAGTAATTACATTTTATATATGTATTTTAATGGTAAATAAGAACAGGTGGCAGCACAGGTGTTTATGCTCGCTCCCTTTACTTGAGTCACACTGTAAGGTTAAGCTGAAGACCACACAGAACAATCGTCTTTCTGCCATAGTTCATTAGACTGACTGAGGGGCTTAGACCAACCGTGTAAAGAGGAATTGATAGATCTAATGAGATGCGTTTATCGGATCTTTGTACTTGACCTTATTGAAGAAACTTTTGAGGTGAGTTAAAGGTGTAGTTGATTTATTATTATTATTTTAGTAGTAGTATTATTATTATTATTATTAGTAGTAGTAGTAGTAGTAGTATTGTTGTTGTTGTTGTTGTTATGGGAATCTATTTTAAAGTTATATTGGATAGTAACATAGATTGGCCCTTTGTTTTGTTATGTTGTTGTTGTTGTTGTTGTTGTTTTGTTGTTATGATGAAAACAATGTCCGTGTAAAGAAATTTTGGTATAATATATGAATTAAAAAATTTTTCTCACAGCGTTTATAGAGTTTCCAAGGTCACGTTTACCTGTTAGACACCTGACTTATTAATAAATGGAAGTCCAAAATGAAACGGATCACCAAACGATTAAACACCCTGAGGTACCTGGGAGTTTAGGTTAGGTTAGGTTAGGTTAGGTTAGGTTAGGTTAGGTTAGGTTAGGTTAGGTTAGGTTAGGTTAGGTTAGGTTAGATTAGGTTAGGTTAGGTTAGATTAGGTTAGGTTAGGTTAGGTTAGGTGTTAGTAAGAGGAGCAAAGAGTCTCTGAGTGAAGTAGGAGGAGGTACATGGGCTCCAGCTTAGTAAGAGGAACCAAGTGCGTAGAGTTCGAGAGGCTTTGTGAGTCTTAGGAAGAATGTCTGAGAGGCTCTGTGACTCTCTGAAAGCCTCTGTGAATCTTTTAAAGCCTCTAAAAGTCTATATGAGCCTCTGAAAGTCTTATTAGAGAGCGTAGACTTACCTTATGGGGGACGACTGTGTGGAACTCTCTCAGCTCCTCGGCAGGGAACCACGCTGGCTCTTCGTCCTGGATCACATGGAAGCCACACAACCTGTAACACACGCCTTCGTCAGCCACGCCTTCGTTATCTCCCTTACCCAAGCCTTCCTTAACCATGCCTTCCTTACCCACGCCTTCCTTACCCACGCCCCCTTACCCACGCCTTCCTTACCCACGCCCCCTTACCCACGCCTTCCTTACCCATGCGCCGCCTTACCTTCCTTACCCCCCACACCTTCCTACCCATGCCTTCCTTACTACCCATGCCTTCCTTACCCACGCCCCCTTACCCACGCCTTCCTTACCCACGCCTTCCTTAACCATGCCTTCTTTACCCACACCTTCCTTACCCATGACTCACCCACACACCTATACTCTCTACAATCCTGTACTCCCAACATACCTGTATCCCCTAAACACCTGTTCTCCCCAAATACCTGTTCTTCCCACACACCTGTTCTTCCACACACACACCTGTACTTCCCACACACCTGTACTTCCCACACACCTGTACGTCCCAGACTTGTTCTCCTTACGTCTGTTCTTGCCACATATCTGTACTCCTTACACACCTGTTCTTCCCCACTCACCTATACTCCCCACACATCTATACTCCCCACACATCTGTACTCCCTACACACCTGTACTCCCCACACACCTGTACTCCCCACACACCTGTTCTCCCCTCCAATACATTACCTGGTAAGAGCTATGCCAGGGATCCAGAGAGCTGATATTAACACCAAGACGGCCACCACCCCCCACGCCCACGATGGCCACTGTTCTAACTTCACCACGCCGGCATTAGCATCCCACGCCATGTAGCTCGATCCGTTCATCACCTGAGAGCCATTAAGAACTGATGAGCACCTTAGAGATATATTAGGTCGTATATAAATAGCTAGGGTGGTTGAAGACAGTGATTGCTAGGTTGAAGGAGGAAGGTGTGAGGATGACCACGACACAGACCAGCGGGAGGTAGTGAAGAGAGGGGCGACAAGAGGATGAAGGAGGAAGGTGTGAGGATGACCACGACACAGACCAGCGGGAGGTAGTGAAGAGAGGGGCGACAAGACTGGTGGTAAATTTGGCCAAGAAAACATATAAGTGTATAAACTCTTTAGTCTTCTGGAGGATGAAACAGGTGGTAAGATTACAGTTAAGGACAAGGCTGATACAAAGGGTAAGAAAAATCTTAATTGTTAGTGATTCACAACTGGATCGTGCTTCTGTAATAAAGACAGAAATAGGAGGCTGAAAGAGTGTTTACCAGGAGCTGTGGTTGGTGATATAGTTGACAGGATGGATAATATCTTGTCAGGTACTGGGAACAAACCCATTATCTGCCTCAGTGCAGGAGGCCGGTGTAGGAGTGAGGAGCTCCTTGATAAGTTCAACACAGCTATTGAATTTATTAGGGCAAAGGGAAGGATCCTTATAATATGTGGTGTCCTGCCAAGAAGGAGAGTTGGCGGTGAATGGTTGTCAAGGGCAGTTGATGTCAACGGCCGTCTTGACAGATATCGCAAGTCAAAATCAGTCCCTTTCATTGACAACTGGGACAACTTCTATGGAAGAAGGAATCTTTATGCTAGGATGCATTTATCTAGGGACCGGGGTGGCATCCCTGGTTGGGTCTCTCGAGAGGACATTTCAAAAGATATCGAAGTCCTTAAACTGCTAGGGAGCATGTGAGTACAGGGATCGAGGAGACTGCAGTGGGCGAGGGGAGACAAAACGAAAGATTACAGGACAAATCTTGGTAGGGGTGACGACAAGTTAAATTAGTCGGAGAGTTAAAACCAAAACACGACTGGGAGAAGACTCAGATCACAACGACCTTACATGTTTATAACGTGCGTGAGCAGCAGAAGTATGAAAAATCGCTATAAAAGCATTCACCGAAAAATGGAACTAACGTGAGTTACCTGTCGTACACCAAATTACAGGTTACAAAATATTACATACTGATAGGACGATTAAAAAAGGAAGCGGGGTAGCAACCTGTGTCAGGGATAATTTGAAGTGTGAAATCAATTAGGAAATAAAATTAATTGAATACTGAATCAATTTAAATATAATTAACCTTTGGCAGGACAAATTTAACCATAGGAGTAATATATAAACTTCCTATTCATGAGAGGGTAGAAGGGCAATTTATTTAGGATGGAATAGGTCTGTATAGTCGACTACTTTAATTTTAGTTAAATAGATTGGTAGTTTTGCTGAATCATTGTCAGATTTAATTACACGCCCTATTTTAGTGTCGTCAGCAACATTTCTTCTGTTACTTTCCATGCCTTTATCTGTGTCATTTACATATGTGATAAATAGTATTGGGCCAAGTACTGAGCCTTGAGGTACTCCACCAGTGACGTTACCGCAATCTGATTTAGTGCCATTAATGCTGGCTTGTTGTTTCCTATTCAGTTTAGAATATCTCCTTTGACTTGACCTCACCTGTCCTTCGTTATGACTTCACATAACCTGACGTAACTTCTCCCATGTGACCTGACCTCACCTATCCTCCTTTATGAGCTGACCGCACCTGTCCTCCCTTATGACCTCACATAACCTGATCTAACCTCTTTCCCCATGTGACTTGACTTCACCTGTCCCACCTTATGACGAGACTCCCATGTGACCTTACCTAATTTTTCCTCCCTTATGACCTGACCTGTTTGATGATGGATGAGCCAAGGATGGTCAGCATAACAGCAGGGGAGATATATTTCCAACACAACAGGAAGAAGCTGTTTGGTCTGCTGCCGATCATCAACTCAATGTCATCACTGAACCTGAGGACAAAGGGAGCGATTAGTGATGTCATAGGTCATAGGTTGTGGTCATTAAGCATATCTACCTCTTGTGTTGGGTAGCGGTGTGTGTATTATGGGTTAAGGTGAGACTGTGTATGTGTTGTGGCTATAGAAAAGGTCATGGCGGCCGATTTAGCTCGCGGTGATTAACTGTCAGTGCAATACAAGACAGGGACAATCTGGGTCTGACGAGTGGAGGGTTGTGAAGAGAGAAACTACCAAACTGGCGGTGAGAAAAGACAGCAAGGAAACTACAGCAGCTAAGTGTACTAATTGAACGGTAACATAGTCAAGGAAAAGGCTGACTAGGAAAACGCACTTACTTTCTAAGGCCGTAGACGTAGGAGACAGAGATGCACTCAAAGAAGGCGACGATGAGAAGGGGAATGTTACCAGAGAAGTCGTCGAACAGGATAAAGACGTAGTTACCAGCACCATGCGCGAACACCATACTGATAGCGCAACACACACAGCAAATGATGGCTGTTAGAGAGGGGGAGGACCAGTCAGCAGGTGAAATATACTAAGGTGATTAATCTTTATCTAACCTAACCCTATACATTTCCGGCCCAAAAGGCTAATTATAACTCACTCACTCACTCACTCACTCACCTGTCAAGATCTCCTTCCTAACGTTCGGGAAGACTTTAAGGTCGACGATAGAGGTAATGACTCCTTCCAAGGTGCCGAATTCAGAGTCGATCCCAAGAGTAAATAACATGAGGAAGAAGAGCACTGACCAGAAGGGTGCCCAGGGGAACTGGTTGATGGCCTCAGTGAACACAATGAAAGCCAGGCCCGTCCCAGAGGCAGACTGAGAGGGGCAAAGATAAGGGTGACATTAAACATAAATATCTCCTAGGTGATGGAGGACAGTGTATCTTCTAGGTAATGAGGGACAGTGTATCTCCTAGGTAATGAGGGACAGTGTATCTCCTAGGTGATGGAGGACAGTTATATCCTCGGTGATGGGGGATAGCGTATCTCCTATATGATGGGATAATGTCTCCTACTTAGGTAAAGTTAAGGTATAAAACAAAATCTCCTCGATAAATAAGTACCAAAATAAGTAAGTACGTGATTAAGCAAATTAGTATACGAGGAAATACGTTAATATATAAGTAAGATAAATAATTATCATAAGTAAGATAATGACACTCTTGAGGGTCCTGCACAAATAAGTAATTAACATAGACAAACAAGTATAAGTAAAATAATTAATTTACAAAAGTAGATACTGACGTTTTTGAGGGTCTCTTGTAGGTCACACTTGGGTAGAGTAGGCATGGGTATCTCCGTGTGTCCATCGATGCTGATCATCTCTCCTGGAGCTATTGCTAAACCATCTGTCAAGTTTAACACCTCCATCCTGATTGAGTCTCTCTCCTTGATGCACTGTTCGTAGGTTATGTGAGCCTTGAACCCTGTTGGATATAGTCTTAATGTGAGCCTTGAACCCTGTTGGATATAGTCTTAATGTGAGCCTTGAACCCTGTTGGATATAGTCTTAATGTGAGCCTTGAACCCTGTTGAACATAGTCTTAATGTGAGCCTTGAACCCTGTTGGATATAGTCTTAATGTGAGCCTTGAACCCTGTTGGATATAGTATTGGGTTTGGTAGGTGAGTCTTGAATTTGTATGTTGTATTTGAAATTTTCTGAACTATAACAAGCAATTGAGATAACATGAAGAAATAAGCTTGGATGTCTAATAATCCGGTGAAATAAGCTGAGGTGTCTAATCATCCGATGAAATAAGCTTGGTTGTCTAATCTTCAGGTCTACCCAATCGCTTATACACTTTTTTTTACCTCGAAGCTTACAGAAATGTTATCTAAGGAGGACTGGGACCCTTGAGTAATGAATTTCTAAACCTTGGATAATGGCTCGGCTCCCTGGGACACATGTATGAAAAAGACTGACCTACTGAACCACTACAAAAAAAAAGGTGAAGTACTGTACACTTGAAGTCTAAAATGAAGAGGAAGATGATTTAATGGTTCATAATAAATTAATCTTTGACCCACTGCATTTTGAGGAGTATTGATTTTTAACACGAGAAACATCTGCAACTAGAGAGAATGGGAGACATTGTTAAGGCTATAGTTGCGTCTCTCTGTTTGTCTGTCTTATCTGTCTTATCTGTCTTATCTGTCTCTGTTTATCTGTCTGCTCATTCTTCCCTTGACTGTTGACTAGCTATGTGATATTCATGTTTACCATAAAGATACAGACAACTTCATAATTATATCGCAGCAATCCTTAGTATCTTTGAGCTATTTATAAGTCAAATAAATGTGATAAGTAAAGGAATGCTTGAGTTACCCTTCCTACCAACCTATTCATAGAAAACATGTGACTATAGGGTAAACTGTGTTATTTGAAGAACTATTTTTTGCTTCCCATTAAAGTATTGTGTTATCTGTGTTTATTTCTTAATTTGTACCTTATATTCACGCGTTTATTTCTATCTTTACATTTAATTCAATATTTATTTAAACTTCGTCATTGTTTTTAGTGAGAACACGACAATTACAAAATTTTACAAAGGTTACAAAGCAAAAACTAAAACAGTATTAGGTTCTTTCAATGCAAGGAAATAGAACCAGATTTAGATGGTATCTATGCAGGAACCAAGGTATCTACAACCAAATAAGTACATAGTTCAAGTTAGTATTATATAAGTCCATTAGCCAATTCCATATAAAGTTTACAGTCAACGATGTAAGAGAGGCGAAACCAAAACAGATCATTTGTTCTCCACTCGGTGTAGGAGTCGACTCGTTCTATAATATTGTGTGAACGTTTTCCTAATGTTATCTTTGATTCATTGGTCACGGGATAATCTGTCAACGCTACCTGGAGGTGGGTGGGTTAAGCCAAGTGATCCCGTAAGCCTAGTTATCAGGTATTCTCTATGAAAAATTATTTCTCGAGTTCCAGGATCAGCAAGTCAGATTTTGAGCACACATCTTGCAATCAACGGTAAATTCCCTTCCATTCCCTCATTCATTCCTCTCCCGCTTTTATTTTTCTTCTCGTTATTTTCTACATTCTATCTTTCATTCTCTTCTCCCTATTCCTGACCTAGCACGGAGAAGACAACGACGGCGGCGAAGATGGCAGTACAGCAGTTGATGATGCCACACACCACGGCGTCGCGGAAGCAGTTGTTGTGTATCGGGTTGTAGGAGGAGAAGGCTATAAGACCCCCGAAGGCGAGACCCAGCGAGAAGAAGATCTGCGTCCCCGCCTCCAGCCACACCGTCGGGTCCAGGATCTTCCCCCACTGTGGGTATAAGAACTTATTATACACCGGACCTTAACCCTCTATAAACATTATTTATATATAACAGCGTGTTCAATAAGTGACACAACATATATAATATATATGCTAGGTTAAAGGTGTATATGTTACGTTTGGTCGTTGAGAAGAAACAATTTATCGTAATGTGGTGACCAGCTGATATGTAACTTTCAGAAGATGTATTGGTTGCATCTCAGTATTTATTTAATATGTTGACCATTATCTACCGCCTACGGTATATTTGACATGATATACACACCACATATATTTATAAAAATATTTTGAATCAGTTCTTTTCTATTTATAGAAGGAAGGATAAGTAAACTCAGTAACAAAAAATAATTAATCGTTAGAAAGTGGGGGCAGCCAGTAGTCCACGTGTCATCAGTCAACAAAACACAGTGTCGACTGTGTCCTGTGGCTGTGGGTGTGGGTGTGCCTTGTGGTTGGAATTCTGACATACGGGTTGCTCTTTACCCAACTTATACTCTGCACATATATATGTTTATTTACATACACACTAATACTTTATGTCATTATTACTACGTTAATTTAGCTAAGTGGTACAAATAGTGATATTCATTTAATAATCAGTGTCCAGTTGTGTCTTAAGAGCTGTCAGCTGGTGTGGTTACAAGTCTATGACGTCATCATCGGGGTCGACACACCAGCGCCGCCACACGGTGAGTTATATGAACTAGTTTAGTAAATATTAAGTTTACTTCTTAATATTTTTGGACTGAATGTTCCCTAATCTGCCTGTGTGTGATTAGGTCGTGGCTCATTACATTCTGTTCGTAAATTTGCTTCGTATGTCCCTCATGAATAACATGTTAAACCGTTAGTTCACCTCGGAAAGTGGCCGTCTATCATTAACGTGGTATAACATACTAAACTTCTTCATTTATTACTCTATACATATATCCAACGTAAACCCATTCTGAATATTGGGTAATAATATATTCAAAGTAGATCAACTCGAAACAGTGAGCAATTGTCCGAAGTCGTAATGGAACCGTCCCGGGGCCAAGACAACAGTCTACTGGGGAACAAGTAAGAAACCTTCACGGGATTGAAAGAAAGTATTGGAGTAGGTCTATAGCAATACATTCAAAGTGATATTATCTGGTCACATTGTCCATGACAGATTTAACCCTCATATGCTGTCATACAAACGTGTAAACATTATATGACATAACACAATATTTGCATGAAAAAATATTCCTATCAAACCCGACTTAATTGAACACACATAGTTCAACATTCTCACCGTGTACTGTATTGTGCGTGTGTGTGAGCGTGGGCATGTGCCTAGAGACTCGTCAGCCAGAAAGGTGTGGGGATTGGATTCAGCCACACACATACAGACCCCCATGAACGTGTATGAGTAACTGTTCAGTCTCACCCAAAAGTTAGTTAACCCTCCCAGCCAGCTATTGCTCCACTGCCTGCTTCAGATGTATGAACTTAAGTCTGTTACTTCGAACCTTTAGATTCATTCATATCGGTTTCATGTTCTGGTTGGTACTGAGACAGTCTCAAACATCTGAAGCAGGCAGTGGAGCAACAGCTGGCTGGGAGGGTTGATGAACTTTTGGGTGAGACTGTATCATAATCATTGTTTACAGAGACCAGACTGGTGAACGTAATGACTTGTACCGCTGCCTCAACTACCGAACAACTCATTTAAAATTCATAATTTGCGATTTAAAAAATATCCAAAAGTTTTAACTTGAGTTCATTGAAGATTTGCTTAGAATGCGAATGTAGAATAAATGTGAATTGACGTGAGCAGAGAGAAGTAATGAGGGAGGAGGTGTACAGAGGGAGACATGTAAACAGATAATGCCCGATTGGATGTGTTTATCGTCACGTTCCTCTCACTTCCTTTATCCTTCCATCTTTGTGTTTATCTGCAGAGAGTGAGGCGCCGCGTGTGTGAGGGATGAGGTGGTGTGAGGAGGGATGAGGTAAACACACACACACACACACACACATATCCCCTCACTTGGTCAAGAATGGGTGATCCTCTCTCTCTTTCTCTCAAATAAAAGTAAATACACACACACACACACACACACACCTAACTCCTTGATCGATACAGCCGCCCCCGCACTTGGTAGCCCCGGGGAAGTTGACAAAGAAAACGGGAATTCTGGCTAGATGGGGAACTTAACTGTCCGGAAAGTGAGGTCGGGAGTTGGTCGCTGACTCACTTTGCTCGCGGCAATTTCTTAATTACTCTGTTTTGTGGCGGTAATGTTCACAGGGACTTTCTTTTTTACCTGTTGACTGAGGCCTCAGGTGTGTTTTGTGTGGGGCTTGATGCTTGTTTTGTGTGTGTGTGTGTGTGTGTGTGTGTGTGTGTGTGTGTGTTATATCTTTACTTTTGATTGTTGATTAATTAATTGAGATGTATAACTAAACAGTATACCTCTCTCTCTCTCTCTCTCTCTCTCTCTCTCTCTCACAAAACAAGGAACAGACCTCCATTGTGTGTAAACGAGCGTAACTTAAATCAACACCAATAACATCTGCCATAATGACTGTGGTTACTGTCAACTAACTAAATATTCCCATCGTCTTCAATAGTGACATCCTCGCCTTGATTGTTTGTAAATTAACTAAGGTATTACCAATATCTTACAACACTCCACCATATGTATGTAAATATTAATAAAACTAAATATAAACATAAAGGAATTATTTTATGTTGTTGGTGACGTGAGAAACTGTTTGAAAGTCGAGGCGGGAAGGAAGGTGCGTAGACGAGGCGATATTGTGTACCGCCCGACACTGGAAGCCCTGAACAACACTCCGACTTTAATTCATCGTCTACCCGCGACCACAAATCCATATTCTCTCTCTCTCTCTCTCTCTCTCTCTCTTTTCTTTGTTCCATTTTGCACTATCGATTCTTATATCGTTGATTATTGACCCTCTTTTGTTTTGGTTTGGGGAGAAAGTTTAGTTCCAGGTGTTGATCATGTTTTTGTTATATTCACATCCTCCTCCTCCTCCTCTTCTTCTTCTTCTTCTTCTTCTCCTCCTCCTCCTCCTCCTCCTCACTTCCTTCCCTTTCACCTTCCCCTCCTTACCTCCCTCCACCTCTTAACAAGCATTACTGCTCCCTTAAGTGGTCAGGGTCACCACTTGTCCCCCTTATCCAGGTCACAGAGTCTCTACCACTGAGGGATCCCCTTAAGTCGTCAGAGCTGTGTAATGAAGACCATAGGGACGGCTCACTTAGGCTCCCCTCATTAATTTTTTTTTAATCATACAAGGGTTCAGGGCTGCCCATAGTGACCCATGATACTTTAGGTGCCGCTCAGTGACCCATGATAGTTTAGGTGCCGCTCATAGTGACCCATGATAGTTTAGGTGCTGCCCATAGTGACCCATGATACTTTAGGAGCCGCTCACAGTGACCCATGATAGATTAGGTGCCCCTTACAGTGACCCATGATAGTTTAGGTGTTGCCCATAGTGACCCATGATTGCTTAGGTGCTGCCCATAGTGACCCATGATAGTTTAGGTGCTGCCCATAGTGACCCATGATAGTTTAGGTGCTGCCCATAGTGACCCATGATAGTTTAGGTGCTGCCCATAGTGCCCCTTGATAGTTTAGGTGCGTTCACAGTGACCCATGATAGTTTAGGTGCTGCCCATAGTGACCCATGATTGCTTAGGTGCTGCCCATAGTGACCCATGATATTTAGATGCTGCCCATTAGACCATGATTATTTAGGTGCTGCCCATAGTGACCCATTATTATTTAGGTGCTGCCCATAGTGACCCATGATAGTTTAGGTGCTGCCCATAGTGACCCATGATAGTTTAGATGCTGCCCATAGTGACCCATGATAGTTTAGGTGCTGCCCATAGTGACCCATGACTGCTTAGATAAACAACTTTCTTCCTCACAACCACTCCCTCTCCCTCACCTCCCTCTCTCCTTCACAACCACCTCTCCCTCCCTCCTCCCTCCCCTCCCTCTCTCCCCTTCACGACATATACCCAAACCCTCCTCCTCCATTCTCTCCATCACAACACTCCCCCAATCCCTCCCTCCTTTCCTTCCCTCCCTCCTTTCCCTCCCTCCTTCCTCCCTCTCCCTTCCCTCATAACATCTCATAATGACCCAGCAGTCAGCCGCCGTCTCCACCTCACTCAAAAAGAGATTGAAACTTTCTATAGCCTGGTGTGAGACGCTGCCAGAATACTAATTACGTAACACTCCCGCCGCCTTCCTCCTGTCTGGCTGCCACTTGTTATTTTACGTTTGTTTTTGGTGATATTTAGACCGTGTATTAAAACCTAATTTAACCAAACCTAGTGGAACCTGATTTGCCCTAACCTCATTGAACAGTAATCTAACCAATACACCTTCAGGCAGCTCTCAACACACCCACACACCTTCAGGCAGCTCTCAACACACCCACACACCTTCAGGCAGCTCTCAACACACCCACACACCTTCAGGCAGCTCTCAACACACCCACACACCTTCAGGCAGCTCTCAACACACCCACACACCTTCAGGCAGCTCTCAACACACCCACACACCTTCAGGCAGCTCTCAACACACCTACACACCTTCAGGCAGCTTCCCTCAACACAGCAACACACCTTCAGGGCAGCTCTCAACGCACCCTACACACCTTCAGGCAGCTCTCAACACACCTACACACCTTCAGGCAGCTCTCAACACACCCACACACCTTCAGGCAGCTCTCAACATACCCACACACCTTCAGGCAGCTCTCAACACACCCACACACCTTCAGGCAGCTCTCAACATATGCTCCTATTCGTAAGAAGCCACCAGGTAGCTCTTTAAACCCCAGTCCAAGCGGCCAGATATACCATTGACGCCTCCAACACCCCCGCCATCCACCGCTGATATTCACGGCGCGTATACCCGAGGGAGAGCTGAGGAAAAGGTCACTGTAAATAAATTATGTTCGACCTTTCCTTCAGTGCCGACTCCCATCTACCGTGTGTGTGTGTGTGTGTGTGTGCGTGTGTGTGTGTGTGTGTGTGTGTGTGAACTAGATATACACTCATATACTTACATCAGGTGTAAAGAGGTGCTTGAGTCCATCCTCCATCCCTGGCAGGGTAATTCCTCTAACGAAGAAGATGACGAGTACTAGGTAGGGGAAAGGCGCCGTCACGTACACCACCTGTGGGGGAGTAACACGGGTTAACGGGGGAGATTATTGTGGTGTAGGGAGAAAATGTTTGGGTTTAGGGAGAAAATGTTTGGGTTTAGGGAAAAAAATTGGATTTAGGGAGAAAATGCCGATGCTACAAGGAGAAATTTGGAAGTTAGGGGAATAAAGTTGTGGGTAAATAGGGAAAATATCAGGGTACAGGGAAATAATTTGTAGGATTGTGGGGAGGAGAAAATCATACTCAAGGGAAGGACTGAATAGGGAAGAGGAAAAGGAGATAAAAGAATAAATAAGGAAAAATGACAATAAATGAAGTAGATAGTCTCATTGTTAGGGTCGGCATGGAGAACCTCTCAGCCTCCTTTTACTTCCTGTTTGATATTTCTCCCTCCCTCCTCCCCCTCCCCTCCATCTCTCCTCTCCCATTCCTCCTCCCTCGCTCCCTCCTTCTGACCTTCTTTCTCAATTCTCCCCCACTCTACCCTCTCCTTCAACGCCCCCCCCTCCCCCCCCCCCCCACCTCTCTCAGGCAGATGACAGAGAAGGACTTCACCCTTTATAACCTTGGCTGGCAATACTCACCACCCCTGTCACCACCATCACTACTACCGTTACCATCAACACCACCATCACCACCATCACCACCACCCTATTACCACCATCACCACTACTACCGTTACCACCACCACCACCATCACCACCACACATCACCACCACTATTACCACACGCCACCATCACCACTACTACCACCACACACCGTCATATAGTGCCATAACATTATCTAATATCACGTGGGAGGGGCGAACAGAGGGAAGACAAAAACTTGAATAAACGAATGAATTAACAACTGGGAGACAGGAAGAGTTAATGAGGAGAGTAATACCATCTTTTGGGTGGTAGTGGGCTGTGGTTACCTACCCTAAGACGTGGGTATGGTTGGGTTATAATGTCAGGGGAGTTAGAGAAATCATTAGGAAATATTTCGTCAGTGTCTTCACGTAACTGTAGTAGCGAGAAAGGAAGGAAAATTTCATGAGGACAACTTTTGATTTAGAAGGAAAATATAACAAGAGTGTAAGACATTTTGGAGGTAAAATATTAAGTAAAAGAAGAGGTCACTTGAGGTGGGGTAAAGAGGAGGAAAATGCTTGACAAAGGAGACCGTGCAGAAGCCGCCAAGCTCACGGGGTCTCTGGTAACCCAACACAGACTGAGGAAAACTTTACATTAAGTAGAAATTTTTGTAAGAAATATAGTTTACAAATTCATAAACTTTAATCTCACGTCACCAACATCTTTATATTAACACGAACTATTATATACACGATATGGTAAAACTTGTGGATTTAAAGTGAATCAAATTAAAAATCATATAGGAATTTACAAAAAAAAAGTTACTATAGTTATCTTAGACAAACCACGAGTATCTAAGGCCGCCAATCACATCCCTGGGTGACTTCTAAACGTACGGTGATTGGCTGGGGACGTTGTATTTGAAGGCTTCCTATTTGAACTCACCTGCACTGCTCCTAACCAATCATGGTGTCCTTGGTAGTCAACCAGTGATATGATTGGAGGGGCTTATCTGTGAGATCTTTAGCACAGTAAACACCACTCACACACACCTGGCGTCACGTGAATCATTAAGGCAGTAATTATCTTCCGTCACAATAGTTTTAGTTAATAACACAACCGATTTGGTGCATGAGGGACTACTAAGTGACACAATATTAAGTGTCTGATGTCATAAGGATGTGTCATGCAAGTTAAGGTACTACATAGGAAGTTGGGTGTCATAAGAATTTGTATGAGTAGTTGGATGTCATAATGTGTCAGATGGCACAGGATACTGGGTGTCATACAGAGAGAGAGAGAGAGAGAGAGAGAGAGAGAGAGAGAGAGAGAGCAAATTCTATCACACGAAAACAAGAATAAAACAAACCTCACCTCACCTAACAGTACAGAAAGGCAGGTAAGGTACACAGGTAAAGGGGTGTAGTGTAGGTACCATGACATCACACAGGTAAAGGGGTGTTGTGTAGGTACCATGACATCACACAGGTAAAGGGGTGTAGTGTAGGTACCATGACATCACACAGGTAAAGGGGTGTAGTGTAGGTACCATGACATCACACAGGTAAAGGTATGAGACAAGATTCGTGTTTACTCTCGGTCCTAATTACCTGCCGTGACAACTTTGACGCGACAACACACCTTACTGACGCTTATCGATCAACAGTCTTGTCTAAGTTAATTAAACATCAAAGTCAGGCGAGAGAAAATATACTGAAGAATTTATGAAGGATTGCATGTTTATATTGTACCAGAGTGAGGTGCTAGTAACTGTATCGTGTACTAGTTGGGGGGCAGAGTAAAGTGCTATTAATTATCCTATCATCCGTCACCAATATCCTTACATCAATTCCATACCTGATCATCCACCCACATCCTGTCATCCATCCATCAACCCACACCTAACCATCTTGTGATCATTACCAACATCCTATCCTATATTACCTTTCCGGAAGATGCAATACCCTTGGCCATGCAGAGGTAAGTCAGAAACCACGCCACGAGGAGACACACTGCGATCTTCCAGTTGAATCTCTCGGGATGGCTAATGTCCTGTGAGATCTCCAATGTCTCTCTATACCAGAAGTACTCGGTGGGACTGCTTTTCTGTAGGGGTGAGACGCCATTAGTAACGTGGGTGGGGGAATTTTTTATGGATGGGGGAATTTTTTAATGTTGGTGGGGAGTATCTGGGGATTTTTTATAGTTATATTAAAGATTTTATTGGTACTCTGTGGTAGGGAGGTATATAAGAATCCCTAAAAAATTCTTAAGTTACTCAAATTCCCCTAAAACCTCCCTAAAATTCCTCCCCCAAAATCCCTATAATTATCTACTTCAGAGTCCTTGGCATCCTTCCCTGCCAGTGACGTGACCACCATAGGACTCACCGCACACTCTCTCACAATCCTGTAGGATCCGTTAGCGTAGTATTCCTTGGGACATTCTGACCAGGGCAACGGACTCCTGAAGCTCTGTAAGGGAAAGAGAGAGATCCTTCATTAGTCTTATGGTATCCTACAAGAGCAAGATGAATAACTGTGTAAAAATCCTCATTAATGAAGGTAATTATCATGAATAACAAGGGAGGGTGAATGACGAGGCAGCACATTTTATCTCATCCTCAAAAATATATTACATCACAGTGAGGGTTAGGTTAGGTTATGGAAAAGGATAGAACACTATAACCCCACCCCCCTCCCCCCCTCTCCTCCCTCACCCCCGAATCCTTCCCTCGAATCCCTTAGTTTTAGGTGCTTCAACTACCAGGGTTATTAAGCACCGTTCACTAGGTCTTAGTCTTAGGTGCTTCAACTACCAGGGTTATTAAGCACCGTTCAATTGCTCTCAATACTTATTATGAAAGGAAAGAAAAACACGAGGTTAATTGACACTTCCTACCAGCGATCCACACCTCTTCCACCCTCCCCTCCACACCTCTTCCACCCTCCCTTCCATACCCCTCCACACCCCACCTTCACACCCCATCCACCCTTCACAACACCCCCTCCACGAGTGATTACTGGGGCCGGGGGGGGAGGGGAGATGTCCTTGTGTGATAGAGGGAGGCATTGTCCCCTGGGAGTTGTAGAAAGTTAGGATAGAGTTGGCTGACCCTTTCTGCTCACTCCCTGGTAGAAAGTTGACTGATTGAACTATGAATAGATCTAGGAGTGAAAGTTGTTGTAGTTAATGCTTGTGTGTGTGTGTGGTACGTACCCCGGCGAGGTAGTAGAGACACCAGGCGATGATCGTGTTATAGTAGAGAGCCACGTTGAAGGATACGAAGGCTGAGGCCACACCGATTCCTCCACAGTACGGCGACACCTGCAAGGTTAGGAGGTCGTCAGTGTGATGGTGGTGGGAGTTAGTCTGGTGGTTGTGGTGTTGGCAATGGTCGTGTTGGTTGTCAGTTTGGTAGTGATTATGGTGATTATGATTGTGGTCGTTATTGTGGTGATAATAGTTGTGGTCGTTAGATTAGTGTTCAGGTGAAATAAGCTGGGTGGGGCTGATCTTCAGGTGATCCGGTCAAACTAACATTAAGCATTGTTCACATAATGCTGAGGGCGTGTTAAGTGTGTGTGAGTACCACTTTAGAATGTCAACGAACACATACCTGATTCCATACACCAATGGCACCTTTTCTGAGTCGCTGTCCCACTGCTAACTCCAGGTAGAACACGGGGATGCCCTCCACCGCCAGCATGATCAAGTAGGGGAACAGGAAGGCTCCTGGGGGGAGGGGAGACATGGTTCATTAGCTTAGAATGATAGATACAGAGATAAAGATATAAACCAATAGTCAGATATACGTATAGCTACAACAGAGTGATGGAGTATTGGTTACAGCTGCAGTACTGAGGATGGTCGCACGCCTGGCAGTGGATATAATGAGACGTGTATGAATAAACTCCCTCAAGCAGAAGATCTCAGTTCAGTGATGTCTGCCAGGCTGACTGCCGGCCCCAAAGAGGCTTGTCATAATGATGTTTAACATAAATGTGATTAAATTAAATAAGCTAAAGGGCATTCGTCTGTAGAGGTAAAGGACATGACACCTGCTCTGATGATGACACAAGGCTGTTACCATCACTCGTATATAAACACTAGTTGAGTTACCCGCCTTATTCCGGGTTGAGCGACGACAGATAGTGAACTACCCGCACCTCCCTACCATATTTCAGTTCTTCAAAACTGTTGATATGCATCCGACCCGGAGGTGGAGGGTGAGGTGTACAGCCCAGTCTTAATAATAAATTGAACCGTCTCACACCGACAGCGAAGATACGTACGCCACACGCCGGAGTGAGTAACCTAACTTGGAAACCATTGCATCAATTCATAGACACGTAGCGCGAGTGTGTAGCGCAGCGGTCGGTGTGAGATGGCCTTTAGCACAACAGTCTGGGATGGCTGGCGGTGTTGAGACGTCTGCCAGCCGTACCCAGTGACTGGTCAGTACTGGCGGGCGTATGAGGTCCTCCACCCCCGAGTGTCTCAGCCACTCCCCCTTACTGTGTCTCTCCGTCAATAACCACCCCAGAGGCTCCATCACCCACTATAACCACCCCAGAGGCTCCATCACCCACTATAACCACCCCAGAGGCTCCATCACCCACTATAACCACCCCAGAGGCTCCATCACCCACTATAACCACCCCAGAGGCTCCATCACCCACTATAACCACCCCAGAGGCTCCATCACCCACTATAACCACCCCAGAGGCTCCATCACCCACTATACCACCCCAGAGGCTTCATCACTATAACCACCCACTACTATAACCACCCCAGAGGCTCCATCACCCACTATAACCACCCCAGAGGCTCCATCACCCACTATAACCACCCCAGAGGCTCCATCACCCACTATAACCACCCCAGAGGCTCCATCACCCACTATAACCACCCCAGAGGCTCCATCACCCACTATAACCACCCCAGAGGTGTCATCACCCACACAGACACCATCACCCCGACGTACCAGACAGAGGGACATCTTGAGACAGGCGTTATAATGGAAGCACCGAGGCGAAGTATTTACCATAATCAAGCACGAATCTCAGGCATGATTCTCGCGAGGCGCTTCTTTTCAGGGAGAATATTTCCGAATCTGCCTCGTGTTTGTTTAGTCCTCTCACGCCGTAATACCGACTTGATCTAAAGTATTAAGAAAGGGAGGGGGGAGGGGAAGGAAATGGAGATGGGAAGGGGAGAAATAAAATAGATGGGGGGAACTAAAGAGGTATTTGTTGTTATATTATAGGTATCAACTTTTTTTCGTCTGCTTTGTGTTGGTCCAGTCCTCTCTCGCACTAAGTAATGACCAGACTTACAGTATAGTGAAGGGGGGGTTGGGGGGTGGCTAGGACGTTATGTATACATGTTGTTGTTATATATGACTAATCCTCACATGACTCTATATAGTTCCTACCATAAAGGGATTAATGAAAAATAAGTTCCCATCACACCAGCCAAAAAAATTGTTCCTCTCTCTCCCACCAAGTCATTAAACTTTTCACGTGCGGCTTAAATCCACGGTAAGTTGTTGTTGTTATTAAGGTGATTATACACACACAAACAAACACACACAGACACACACACACACACACCCGGGAAGCAGTTGGTTGTCATACACCGTCGCTCTCTCGAGGTGTGGGAGCGTCACAACCCAGTATCGACCGACCGCTAAAGCTCTACCCTGCCTTGCTCGCCGCCGTAGACACCGAGTAATCGAAGTTCCCAGAGCTCTGTCTTCTGGGGACGTGAGGGGAGAACCTTCACGGTGTTTCTGCTGACTGTCTCAACATCTGGTACTGGGGATTAAATTATCGTTTTGTTCGTCGGTTTATCAGAATTTGTACACTAAGTTACCAGTTAATAGAAGTTAAGATATAGAATTACATTAAGACACTGTATTAACTAGTTACGTTCACTTGACACCAGCTAGGAAGCAGAATTACAGAGATTTTGCTGTAATTTAGGATCACCCTCCACCCTGCCAATAACTGGGGTCGCCCTCCACCCTGCCAATAACTGGGGTCGCCCTCCACCCTGCCAATAACTGGGGTCGCCCTCCACCTGCCACAACTGGGCTGCCCCTCCACCTGCCAATAACTGGGGTCGCCCTCCACCCTGCCAATAACTGGGGTCGCCCTCCACCCTGCCAATAACTGGGGTCGCCCTCCACCCTGCCAATAACTGGGGTCGCCCTCCACCCTGCCAATAACTGGGGTCGCCCTCCACCCTGCCTGGGGTAACAACTAAGGTCGCCGCCTCAACAAACATGGGAGAGACGGGTGGCGGAGGAAAGTGGCTCTCGTGGGGGAAATTTTGTGTTTGGGGGAATTTTATGTCAGGATGAATCCCTTAGGGCAACCTGATTTGGCAGTGGTTCTCTCTCTCTCTCTCTCTCTCTCTCTCTCATTCTCTCTCTCTCTCTCTCTCTGTTTATAGTGATGGAATAATACAGTTTCAGTAATTACAGGTGTCGTCTTGACACAGTGAAATAATAAAAATAAATAAATCTCCATTTATTTTCCACTTTTACAGATTCTTACGTTAAAATTACCTCCCTCAGTGTCTTGTTAAGGGAGAGTCTCAGTGTAATTTTGTCTTCCCCATTTTAAACATTAACTTAGTACAGTCAGTCACCAAGTTAAATACAAACTAACATACTTTTACTTAGGGTGAATATTTAATTTAGGAACTTTTATTAATATAGACCATAATAAAACTAACCTAACCCAACACTAACCTAACCCAACACTAACCTAACCTAACACTAACTTAACCTAACCTAAGGCTGGGGTGGCTATTCTTTAAGTGATCTAAGCTTCACATATGTCCGCAACTGTACATTGTAAACTGCTTCAAGAGTGACCGTCAATATGGGCTATAATTCTATTCATTTTGTGTGAGATGGTTGACTCTAGGAGGTCCTTGTGGCTTAGCACTGTTTTGACCAGTCAGTGTGATTATGGAGCAACTTTATGAGGAACGCCCGTAATAGTTCCTCCTTCATCATCATCATCATCATAATTCTTCTTCTTCTTCCCCTCCTCCTCCTCCTCCTCCTCCTCCTCCTCCTCCTCTTCAAGTATTTATTATCATAGAGGGTTAGGTTAGGTTAAGTTAGACCCAGGTTAGGTTAGGTTTGGTTTGGTTAGGTTAGGTTAGGTTATGGTGAGCTAGGGGACACTGATTATACTATAGGGTGACACGATGTGATTTGGCACCGAGGTTGGCACCACAGAAGACGTAAAGGAAAACTGGCACTGTGCCGGGAGGAAGGGTTAGTGAGTCATTACAGGGAGGGAGGGAAGGGGAGTTGAAGGAAGGGAAGGAGGGGACAAGGAGGGATGAAAAGGGAGATAGGAAAGAAGGGAGAGAGAGAGAGAGAGAGAATTGGTAAGAAGGACAGATAATGGAGGGTGAGTGGGAGAGAGGGAGGAAGTTGTTAAATTAAGGGAGGGCAATAAACGAAGGAAGAAGGGAACAGGGAGAAAGGCAGTAAACGAGAGGAAGGGAAAATACTCAACGAAGGGAGGAGGAAGTAAACGAGGAAGGAATAAAGTTGTCATAAAGATAGGGGATGAGGAGGAGGGGGGAGGGGTGAGGGGGAGGGGTGGGGGGGGTTTGGTTCCTTGTTATCCTTACCCATAACCCTCTTTTATGTCTCTCTCTCCTTGACTTTATTCCTCTCACGGTGGAAGAAATTACCTAATTCTTTCTCTTAAACAAATAACAATGATAATTAATTAATCGTCTTTATTGTCATGGCTAAACCTAACTTAACCTAACTTAACCTAACTTAACTTAACTTAACCTAACTTAACCTAACTTAACTTAACCTAACTTAACTTAACCTAACTTAACTTAACCTAACTTAACTTAACTTAACCAAGGCTCCAATAAACTCAAACACTTATTCTTTTTTATTCTAGCTGTGTTTAATTATCTTATAGGGGTCAAAGGTCATAGAGCAGGAAACACGTATATTGTAAGTTGAATTTGGGAAGAATTTGACCAATGAAAGTGAAACCTGGTGTAAATATTTCTTCTTATTGGTCCACATAAGAGTGAGATTTACATTAGGTTACTGGTATGTTAGGTTAAGGGTAATTTAGGTTAGGTTAGGTTAAGGGTAAGTTAGGTTAGGTTAGGTTAAGGGTAAGTTAGGTTAGGTTAAGTTAGGTTAGGTTAGGTTAAGTCTCATATAACTCTCTCCTGTTAGCCGTCGTCAGATCAAGAATCACTCCCTAATAATACAATCAACTTCGCTATAAATACCTCCTATAGTTTCCTCTGCTAATGACCTGATACGCTGGTGCCTCGTTATCAATCCCTAACCACAGTGTAGATAGTGGTTGACCTTTTTTCCTCACCTTTGATTATTTTACGAGGGTCAAAGGTCACCAACAGGACAGGTGAGAGGAGGGAAATATTACCTGGTGAATTTGTTGGTGTTTTTTAGTTGAGTTTTTGTTTAACTTAAGCTGATGTGTTGGTGAAACAGACAGACAGACAGACAGACACAGACAGACAGACACAGACAGACAGACAGACGGGCATATGCGTCAAATAATCAAGGCAGAGAAATGACGTCACTAAGGCTATACTCTTACCTGGCGTCGTTAACTACGTCATCCACTAATTACCGTCACGGAGGAGTGAAGGTGAGGGGGTTTATTTTTTGAGGTTCACCTTTAAGTGTATTAAGACAGGTGATC